GGAGCCGCTCCCTCGGTGGGCCTCTGTTGTTGTTATTGCAGCAGCCCCCCAGTTCACCTTTCTCTTCCTAAACCACGGATGCCAGCAAGGAGGATCTGCTCCCTTAGAGCTGTCGCAGTGGTGTGGGAAATCACTGCGTTGTCACTGTTCTCAATCCGGTGCTTTTACCAGCACTAAATCCATGGTGGTTAGAAATAAAATGGCTGGACAAAACTGATTTCCAGGTGTGCAGCTTGAGACAGTGACTACTTTTCATGGAGTGGCACAGCTGAAGCAGTGTAAAAGTAGATGGCTATTGAACTTTTAGCTCCTGCTTTTCTCCTGTGATCTAAAACCAGCCTGTAAGAAGTGTCGACAAGCCGTGGAAGAAACCACATTATCTCTTCAATGAGAAGCTTCCCTACTGGCATTTGAAATCTTTTTATATTTGGAAGGGGAACAAGGAAAGAAATGTGCAGCCCTTGAAGGGCTTTCTCCTTCCCGCTGCTTAACACAGAGCGATAAAATACACTACAGCCTTCCCCAACCATTAACTTTGCAACAAAACAGGCTGTAAACAGTTATTTCCTGAGAAGTCTCCCAGATTATCGTCACGCTTTTTCTGTAGGTCTTTTTTCCAACATCATTCCAACTCATTCAGCTTTGTATTTAGTGCAGATTTGATCTCAAAGTTGTATCCGATTGCTCTGTGCATACCTATAAGTTGCAGAATCGATCTTTTCCTCTTCCCTTGTGTGCTTGCAGACCAGTGCAGTACAATACGATGTACCGCTACTGTGCAGGATTGGTACTGGTTTATCCTGCCGTGGTTTTGTGCATAAAGCCTAAAGTTAAGTGCAAGTATTAAAGTAAATGATTTAGCTCTGATGTGCCTACATCAGGCTGACGCTGTGTTTCAGGCTCCTGCGGGAAGCGCGTCCTGGATGTAGGGCAAAATTCTATTCTCGGGTTCCCGGAGTAGCTCCTGACTCAGTCTCTTGAGTCTCCTGTGCTGACACGTGCAGGTGTTTCATGGTGTGAGGGAAAGCGAATGCCCTGAAAGGAGCAATCTGTCACCAACTGAGCGATGGGCAATAACAGCAAAACCGCAAACAGAGCAGGAGAATCTTTCTTGAATCAATTGTGCCATGTCTGATGAAAACTTGAAGGGTTTGTGTCACTTCGGCAATGTGCTTGTAGCCTCTTCTTCCTCCTGATTATCACGGAACTGATCAAAGATTGCTTTGTGGATATGAGGACAGAATTTTGCCTGCAGGACGCACGATAACCAACTGTGCCTCCTCTGTAAATCAGCTGTAAGTATATTTGGAATAGGTGCCAGGCCAGCTTCTGAGCTTACGAGAGGACAGAGCTCCAGCAGATACACATGTGGTCCCACATTGCACAGAGCTGTTGCAGTTTTAAAATCAGTCTGATTTTTTTCTTTAACAGGGGAGCCCAGTGTAACTCCGTCAAGACTGGAGTGACACTCTGAATCTGCATCTGCCTCATGTGAGTTAAAATCCTGGCAGCAGCATTTTGCATAAGCTGGAGCCTCTGTAGAGGTTTTTTTTTTTTTTTTCCTTTTCAGGAAGGCTATAAAATTGTTACTGTATGTGTCTTGGCAGCAAAGGTAAAAACAACCACAAAAATGCATGAGAACTGCATACCTTACTGCACAACCCCTGCTCATTCCAGATCGGCTTCCCTCCTAACACGTACCGTGTAAGGGAAGCCCACACTCATCACAGACCTAAAGGCTTGCAACGTTCACTCCTGTGGTACTGCTTTTTAACTTTCTATAGTATGAATAGTATAATTTTATGGCAAGTGATGATGTTAAGGGGAGGCTGAAATGCTGTCAACTGGCTTCTGTTTTTTAAAGCTTTGGTTGTTCTCTTTCAATCCATGGTTACATAATCCATGAACACTGTGTACTGATTGCCCTGAGCCACTGAAGCATTTGTCTGTTTTGGAACACGGATTATTAAAATAACTTGTTCCTTTGGCGCTGGGGACTTGGCACGGTGGCAGACATGACCATCAATTAATAAGAAAGCAAAAAGAAATCAGAATAAGTGGTAACACATGCTTCTATTTGACTGTCATCATATGTGTGTTGGGCTGAGAGAACATGCAAGGACACGTGGAAAATGGATCAGTTGTGGTTTTGTGGCTGTGCATATTTCACCTGTCACACTGTCGTGGGTGCTTGGAGACAGCGTCCTTCTCAGCTGGGTGAACGAGCTGAGCACAGGAAATGCTGCATGGCAAACATCTACGTTCATGGCATCATCGTGGCCTACAAATTATCTCCAGTTGCGGTCTTAGCAGCTAGGATTTGGGAGGGGGGCTTTCCAGGAAAGTGATTATTTTTTCCATCATCCAGCTGAGCTGCAGAAAAAAAGTATTGATCTGTCCTCTCTGCTCCTTTTCTCCATGGATGCCTGAGCTAAGCAAGATAAGAGAGAGAGACCAACCCTGAGTACAATATTGAGATAAATATTTTCATCTAGCAGAAATTATCTAGTAATACATATAACAGGGGCATCTTCCCTGTTTGTGCTGTGGTACTTGCAGCAGCATTAGCCTGTTCACATTTGATCTCAAGGAGGTAGATGGTTTTGCCTGGAAGCTCATGTTCCTGAAACAGGCTTTTGCACAGCTTACAAGGAAAGTCAGTGAAGGTTGTGGCTTGTCCTGATTGATACGGTGTGTGCTGTGGGGTAGAGCCCTGTCAAGATGGGCTTGCTGCGCTCTCAATCTCTTCCCAGTTGTGTGTCCAATTAAAAGAAAGTTTGTCTTGGACAGTAACTATCACAGTAAACTGCAGAACAAAGTTTATTGTCCCTTTCCAGCCTCTGGGAGTCCAGTTTTCAGTGTCTCTGTTCGGTTCATGTGTTAATGGGAAGGTTCTTATTTTCCAGGTATTGTGGAGTGGTAGAAAAACAGGGAAGAGACCAGAGGTATGAATGAACTTGTAGTTTAATTTTATTCAAAGAGATATCAGGGAAGCAAAATCCAGAGGTTGAGAGGTAAAGGGGAAAAATTACCCTGCAAAAGGAAAATTCAGATTAACTATGTGGCAGTATCGCTTCAGCAGAGACTTGCGAAGGTGAAGGCTGAGACTGGCATCTGTTCTTCAGCCTTTCTCTTACTGGCCTTTCAGCATGTTTCCTTAGGCTCAAAGAGTTAAAAGGAGATCTGTAGTGATGAATCAAAGATGAGGAGAGAAGTGCAGCAGGGCAGATGTTGAGTGAGAGTATTTTGTGAGCAGCTGAGCGCACATCCCACGTGGCACAGCTATTCTCTGGTGGAGCATTAACAAGACGTACAGGTTATTTGACAGAAAGCCCTATAGTTTCCCTGGAGATAGTTCTGCTGAGGTTGTTTGTGAGCCACTTCTGTTTGTCTAGAGGAGATACCAAGATATTCCTTAAGATTTTGCCTTCCTCGGCAGGACCACCATGGTGGCTGAGTTCAGAAAGAGCGGAGATTTCTGGAAGACATGTTTTGTTGGGGAGTGATGTTTTGTGGATAAATTGGTAACCTGGTCACGTTCCCTAGGAAATTAATGAGAAGTAATGCAGCAGCTTCATGGGCAGAGTTGGTAACTGGAGACTGATTCAAATGAGGGGAAGGTTTGCACCTCCCTTGCCATCTAAGAGCACGTGCAGGTGTATTTATTGCTGTTTTCCCTGGGAAGTGCCTTTACTGTCGTGCATCAAAGGAATTCCTTTTTTCACATGGTGATCTGGTGTCACTCTCACAATGTTGTTCATCACCTAACTGCCTTTTGCTCCCCCAAACTCTAGCTCACTCCCAGGATTGCCTTGTCAGTCACTGCTTTCTTTGTTAGCTGCAGTTTTTGGTTGCTTATTCCTATCTACAGCTCAGTCAACTCTTCCTTTACTAAGGGACGGAAAAGGTTATGTGCATCAAGTGTTGTACGATGTTGTTGATGTTTGTCACTGGTATCATAATGCTCAAAGATTTTGATAACAACTTTATTTATTCTAGTTATCCATTCAAGAATATTATAGGTTGGCTTGTTACATTTTGCATTAATGGTGTTAGCCCTTTGGGGGGAAAAAAATAACTCTTAGAATTCTGGTGCTTTTTAGCTGACAGGCCACTTGGGTGCCTGGGAAAAGCGAGCCCTCTGTCATGGTTACTATGATCTGAGTCCTTTGACAACCGCATTTCTTCCGAAGTCCTTACTGTTTTAATATTTTTGCAGTATTTTGGTATATTTGTTTTCTCCTCTTAGATTGAGCTTTTGTATTCCACAGTGTATATATATTAAATGGTAATTACCTAGTTATGATAGAAAATGTGTATTAATCTGTACTGTGAGTCCCACAGATGTGCTAGATATCTCTCAGGAAAAGCAATCTGTCTTTTAAAGAGCTTACTGTGTAAATTGCACGTTTATGTATTTTATTCGGCTAAGTTTGAAATTTTCAAGTGTTTGAGCCAGTTGGGCCCACTGAAGTAACCCTCATTATGGTCAAGAGTTATATTTGACCTTGTTACCTCTTAGGACCAAATATAAGACAGCAACATGCAGCACATGTAAGCGCCCTGTCATAGAAACACAGTGATTTCCTTTTAAATGTCCGTTATGTTCAAATGATCTCATTAAATAGTTACATTGCCAGTACCTGGAAAGGTCATTTGCAGGGAGAAGACAGGCCTGATGATGGAAATGACTCTGTTGAACAAGTGCATTTCTTTTGCATTGAGCTGAGGTATATTTCCCAGATAAGCAGCTCCTCCGAACAGTGAGAACACTCAGCTCGCTTAGAAGAGTAGCATTTTGATGCGCAAGGGTAATAGCTAACAGATTTTTACACCACCATATGCTGCTGTTAACAAACAAATCGTATGTTAACTTGACAGCTCTACCTTCAAGCTAACGTAGTCTGCAGCAAACATAAATTCCCCTTGGATGAAACCTGGAGACGATACTAAGCTTTGCGATTGTATCCAGAGCAGTAACAGTAGCACAGCAGTGATGAATTTGAGGCTTTCTAGCCATGAATATGTTTGCTCCCAAAGTTTATTGGTTTCTTTACCAGCTTTCTGCAAACGCAGCAAAACAAAACCCAACGTGAGCAGGTGGAGCATGGAGCGTTTGTGCACCTGCGTAACGGGACTGCAGGGAGAGGAGCTGCAGTTTGAAACACGTTTTCCCTGATGCAGAGAGCTGTGAGAGACTAACGGATATTTCATCTGGTGCTCTCTGCCGCTGAAACCCGAACTGCGGCTCTGCTCGGCTGCCGTCCTGGAGCGTGAGCTGATTCCACCGCGGCTCCGGGGCCGGGGAACCCAAGGCGGAGAAGGGCAGGAACGACAAAGGGAGCGTGTGATGTGGAGGAGGGAGGAGGGCGAGCGGGAGCTTTACTTTTAACTGCCTTCTTGTTTAACCCCCTAGTTGTTTTCAAATTTTCTAACTGAAATCTCATCTTGGTACAGTGTATAAATCCCCTGAGTACGAATCACTTGGATTTGACCTGACCGTAGAAAGATTAGTTTCCATTGGATACCCTCATGAGCTGCTCAATTTTGTGTATGATCCTGCATTCCCTACCAGGTAAATGACTAACAGATACCGACCCAGCCTGCTCGAGGCCTTGAATATTTGTTCTGTAAAGTTTATAGGCAACGCATGAGGCCAGGTTTTCAGAATCGTGCCTTTGAAGCCTGTGGTTGTCCGCAGATCCTGGGAAAGGAGCAGACTGCTCCAACACATGGAGGGCCTTTGCGCACGTGAGGCCATGCCGGCAAGGAGGGGGAGTGTGGGAAAAGAGGCCTGCTGAAACACGGTCCAAAAATAATCTTTCAAAGCAAAGACAGCAGCGGCGCAATCGGATTGGGAATTAAGTCAAAATCAGGGCTTGGGGATAAGAAGCTGCTACTGTGCATGAGGCTGCTAGAATGTCTCAGAACGTTTTTCTTTAATGTTTTTAAATAAAACGTTTTCCTCTGGTATTGGCAAACCAAACACACCAGTGTCCCTGGTGCATCCTGAAAATTAAGCTGACTGTAAACAGCAGTAAAAGTGGGACCAGTCCCGTTCACTTGTCCAGATGAATGAAATGCCAAAAGCAAAGTTAACGGTGCAAAGTTACTGAATTCTTACACTTTGTCTTTTGGTAGCAGAGGTAAAAAGCAGCATATTGTTTTTTAAACAAGGCTTTTAATCTAACTGTGCTCCTTTAAGTTGTTTCCGCTTGTGCCTTTGCTGGATTTAGCTTTCTTGGCTCCTTTGGAGCTTCTTTACAAAAGACTGGACCGGAGGGTCTCTTGGCTTGGTGCTCCAGTTTTCACTTTGGCAGCCTCCTTCCTTCCCTCCTCTCGGTGTGATTCACACCAAGACTGGTGCCATGTGTTCCCACACCCATAATAAGAAGGTAGCCCTTCATGAGCCCGTGATGAAGACTCCATCGAATCCACTGCCTTCATCCCAGGGAGGGGAAGGAAGGGATGTTTCTGTGGGAAGGCTGCTTTCTCCAGAGGCAAGCTACTAGATAAGCGGGACAGAGTTTTGCCTGAGTTGGAACTGGGACTGTCCAAAGCATTTTGTGCAAGTTACGTGCCCTGTCTGGCTCTGTGTGTGACAGAGAGAGATGGAAAGGAAGGGAGCAACTCCCTTATCCGGCTCACTCTTCCTTGCAGCCCAGCAGGGCTGCTCTGTTAGTGAACTACAAACACAGGTGTCAAATTCTTGACCCTGTTTAAGAGGTCCATGTCTGCCCTGGTAAACACATAGCTAAGCCTCTGTTGAGTTAAATGGTTCCGTTTTCAAGTCTATGGAGAGCAGACCGGTTGTACGTTTTAACCTGGCAATACAGGTCTTTGCTTTTTATCTGCGGCCAGGTGAAAGGTACAGTAAGGACCCTATCGGCATAATAACAGCAACTCTGTTTTGACATCCTAGTCCAAGCAAGCAAGCAAGCTGTTCTAGAGCTGATTTGGAAAGATGTGCTTAATGGTCGCTGCTTAATAGACTCACTTCTTCATACCCTAAATCACTTTCTTAACAGAGGCCTGGTGTTTGATACCCACTATGGAAACCTGTTGAAAGTTGATGCCTATGGGAACCTCCTAGTGTGTGCACACGGCTTTAATTTCCTCAGAGGGTGAGTGCTGACTCCTGGCTGTTCTTTTTGACTTCATATGCTTTTTTGTGTCACTGATCCTCAGGGATCATTTTTTGAGGAGTCATGGAGACACCACTAGCAACAGATGCTGTATTGCAGTTCTTGCAGATCGAGGATTTCCCAGGGGATGCACTGAGTATCCCGAACACAGAAATAGCTCAGATTATTCATAGAGGGAAAGGTCTGTACCCACAGAGGCACATCTGTAGAGTGCTGGGAATAAAAGAAAATGTGGTAGGATAGGATAATACAGGGGCCTTTTACCTGAGCTGGCATGGTTTAACATCACCAGCTCGTCAGTGAGAATAGCACTATTGTGCGAGGGCTCCTTGGAGCAGAGAGGAATCTCCACCACGTGAGCCTGTTCAGCTCCACTGTCATTGCTAAGAAGGGTCAAGGGCTTGAGCTTGCTTAGGCAAGGAACAAGCTTGCTCTAGCCCTTTGTATTTCTGACCTTAGAGGCTGTCAAAAGTGAGACATTGCATGCTGTTTCCTGCAGCTTTCCTTGATTTTGCATTCCTCCTGCCCCAGAGAAAAATGCTTTAGGAAGCATAGTGTCTTGCTACGTGCGGGAAGTGTCCCAGCAAATCCCTATGTATCCCTACTGTGAGGGCTTGCAGATGGAAGGGAAGCGTAGGCTAGCTCAGGGGCCCCAAGGTGACGTGCTCGTTGCAGGCCTGTCGGTCCTTGCCGCAGAAAGACAGAATTTAGAAAAAACCCTTATATGTGCACTCAGGCTGCTTCCTTAGTCACAAGTGATCTTCAGAAGCTCCAGAAATGAAGGAAACTAGAGTAACTGAGTGACTTTAGTCATCACCACCCTGCTGATTAATTGCAGAGAGCCCCAGGCAAGCCATGCGCTCCCCTGCTGGAAGCAGCTCGGGCCGGGGGTGTGTGTGTAAAACACCACATGGAAAGTGGGGGAAAGTTTAAGAAAAGCAAACAATGAAAGTGCAGATGGTTGAAAGCATACCCCTAGTCAGCAGCACAAGGCTTAAGGTCGAGTTGTGGACTCTCGACCGCTCTGTTTCCCTGTGTTTGTCGGCTCTGCTTAGCTTGCTGACTCAGCCGTGAGGACTTTGCGCCTGGCTCTGCCGGAGCCAGCGCGGTTAAGGGAACACACGCTGGGTTCAGTTTTGCTCTTGCACCAGTAGCACATGTGGGAAAGCTGGGCACTGATGAAAGCCCACAACAATCTCTCTAGTTAATGGACCCCACTACAACTATATCCTGCAGCTCAGCACGTTGTATCCTTATTATTTTATGTGGTTTCATTCTTCTCTGCCTAATCTGTTCTCAGGCCGGAAACACGGGATCAATACCCGAATAAGTTTATCCAGAGGGATGACACAGACAGGTTTTACATTCTGAACACATTGTTCAATTTACCAGGTGAGTCCCATGTGAGCCAACACGGGCCTGTTTCTGCATCTTTGAAGCCCGTAAAGCTTTGCTGATGTCTTCCTGGATTTACCTCTCTGATTTATTTCTGTTTGCATGAACGTGCTTCTTCCAGGCCCAGAGCCCAGAGTTAGCTGGCCATATGATGCGAACATTGTTTTGAACTTCTGCTTTGTTTCTTTGCAGAGACCTACCTGTTGGCTTGCCTAGTAGATTTCTTTACTAACTGTGACAGGTACACTAGGTACGTATTCTCTTCAGTTTGATGTAGCTGATGGTACAGTGTGATTGTTATTAAAATTCAAAATACAGTGTAGATGCAGCTGCTGTTAATATCAGTGGAGGCCCCTCAAGTGATTTCAGTGGGGAAAAGCTCAGGCCTCTTCTTTTGCTAGTAAGTGAATTTAGTCCTGATGAGATGATCTGTGGGTACAGCAGAGACTGGTTGTGAGATTCTCCTTTATAGTTTGTACCAGTGTTACTGCACTGATTGCCCCTGGTGTTTGGGGCTGTCTTCTAAGACCACACACTTACTACAGGGTTATAACAGCCACCAGACAGCACGTTTTCAAGTCGTGTCCGTTGGAGCCATGTTTGAACTGGTAACTGAAAGGTTGTACCTCCTCAGCTAGTTACCTGAGTCCCTCATTTCATGACTGAGAACTTTCTTCAATCCGAATTGAAATAGTCAGACATGGATTGGTTCAAAAGGCTGTGTGCGGAGCATAAGTATTTGCCTGGCTTTCAAATATGTATAAGCTTAAGAACAAGTCACGTTTTGAACTGGTAAATCTAAACGCTGCTGCATATTGAGACACGTGATGGGTCATCTTCCCGTGTCGTGGGGTTGGAAGGCAAAGATTTAGTGGGATTTTACCTGGGAACAGAGGAACCGTGATTTAGTTTACACTAAACTAGTCCATGAGGTCAAGTATCCTTTCTCTAGTAACAACCAGTAATTATACTGGGCAATGACGGGATCAGTTGTCTGTTGGAGACGTTTCTTCCTTACTCCCTTAGTGGTTAGGGCATAAACCAGTCGTTAAGTGGGATGATTGTAGTGATGATAAATACAGCTCTCGTTAACCCTCCATGATTCCTTCTAATGCAAACTCTCCGTGGTATCTTGTAGGGGAAATTGCTCAGGTTAACTCTTGCTGTTTAGCACACAAGCAGTTCCTCCTTTAGTTGATTTCCATGGCACCTGCTTTTTCAGTGTTGGAAAGAGGGATAAATAGAAGCGCTCTGCTTACTTTCTCTGCAGTGTTCATCTTTTGTAAAACACTGCAAATTGCATGGTCCCAGTATTTCCATCTCTCTCAAAATGGAAATAGTTCATTCACTTAATTGTTCTTTCTTGTTCTTGTAATACTATGAGGGAGAAGTAAGAGTTGCAGTCATAGAGAACTGTAGTACTGCTACAGGGGCACAGGCCAGTCGTCACGAACTCACATCCTAAAATTCTAAAATGAAGAGCGATAACCTGGGTCACGCACAGCCCCTGTTAAACTCTGGTTGTAGCCGCCTTTCAAGCCTGAGCTGCAATAAAGGAGTAAATAAGACACTGTTATTGTAGGATGAAAATACAGGCTCCGAACATCATTTTGAATCATCTCTCTCCTTGGCATTACTCCCACAGCACTTGTTTCTTAACTGCTGCAATTGGCTGCCACAAGCAATCCCCTTTCTTTCTCCCTACAGCTGTGAAACAGGGTTTAAAGATGGAGACCTCTTCATGTCCTTCAGGAGTATGTTCCAGGATGTCAGAGACGCTGTTGACTGGGTTCATTACAAGGTGATTACAAAAACTCCTCGGGACTCTTGTACTCTTTTTTCAGTTAGAGGGACTGGTTTGTAACTCCTGAATTAAGATGTGTCATTCCACTTTTGGGCAAGAGCCCTGCT